GAGCTCCGCCTCCTGTCAGATCAGTGGTGGCATTAGAGTCTCATGGGGCGCCAACCCTACTGTGAACTGCACGTGCCAGGGATCTAGGTTGTGTGCTCCTTATGAGAGTCTAACGAATGCCTGATGATCTGAGTGGAACAGCTGCATCCCGAAACCACCCCCCTCACCCTGATCTGTGGAAAAATTGTCTTCCACAAAACTGGTGCCTGGTGCCAAAAAGGTTGGGGACTGCTGTATCAGAACACCATACAACAATTCAAATGAATCTCCCTATCTCTATCTATACTTAGGTCGACAGCTGTACTACTTATATGAAATAGAAATCTCAAAAACAGAAGCACCTTACACTATCATTTCATTTATATAAATTTTTAAAGCACACGTAATGGCCGGGCATGGTGGATCACACCTGTAATCCCAGGACTTTGGGAGACTGAGGCAGGAGAATTATGAGGTCAGGAGTTCTAGACTAGCCTGGCCAATATGGTGAAACCCTGTCTCTACTAAAAAAAAATAAAAAATGGCCAGGTACGGTGGCTCACACCTAAAATCCCAGCACTTTGGGAGGCCGAGGCAGGCGGATCGCGAGGTCAAAAGATCAAGACCATCCTGGCCAACATGGTAAAACCCCATCTCTACTAAAAATACAAAAATTAACTGGGCGTGGTAGCACGTGCCTGTAGTCCTAGCTACTCAGGAGGCTGAGGCAGGAGAATCACTTGAACCCAGGAGGCTAGAGTTGCAGTGATCCGCGCGCGCGCATCCCGTCCCGCACTCCTCGTACCCCTCGCGCACCTGGTCACCCAGAAGCTAGAGACTCTGTCTCAAAAAACAAAAAAAAAAAAATTTAGCCCAGCGCATTGGTGGCTGGCTGCCTGTAGTCCCATGCCTACTTGCGGAGGACCCTGAGGCAAGAAGAACACTTGAACCTGGGAGGCGGAGGGTGTAGTAAGACGAGATTTGCCACACTGCACTCTAGCTCTGAGCGACAGAGTGAGAACTACCAAGGAAAAAAAAAAAAAAAAGCACAACCTAACAAAGGTAGAACCAGGCATGTGCTCATGCCTATAACCAGTGCTCTTGAAGAGCTGGGAGGATCAACTTGAGGCCCAGGGAGTTTTGAGACTCAGCCCTGGAACAACAACAGCAAGACTACTGCTTCTACAAAAACAATTTAAAAAATACAAGGACCAGGCAATCGGTCGGTACATATTTGTAGTCCGCCAGTTACTCAGTGAGGACTAGAGGCCAGGAGCACTGCATTTTGAGCCCCAGTGAGTCTCCAGGCTGCAGTAAGCTTATTGTTCTCACTGTAGACACCCAGCAGGCGTCGCACTGGCTACTCCCAACTGGGAGAAACGGAATAAGACCTTGTCTTTAAAAAAAAAAAAAAAAAAAATCACACAAGGTACTATTGTTTACAGCTAACACCATATGCAAGCCGCAAGATAGCCAGACTTCAGTGAAATGACATCCAACTCCTCTAAGGCCAGTGGTTCCCTGTGGGAAAAGGAATGCACTGAAAAATTGAAGAAGGGGAGAGCATTAACTGTGTCAACACTTTTTCTTTCTTTTCTTTCTTTTTTTTTTTTTTTTTTGAGACAGTGTCTCACTCTGTCACTCAGGCTGGAGTGCAGTGGCATGATCATGGCTCACTGCAGCCTCGACCTACCCAGCTCAAGCAATTCTCCCCGCTCAGCCTCTTGAGTAGTTGGGACTACAGGTGAATGCCACCATGCTTGGCTAATTTTATTTTTTTTTATAGAGACAAGGTTTCACCATGTTGATCAGGCTAGTCTTGAATTCCTGAGCTCAAGTGATCCACCAACCACGGTCTTCCAAAGTGCTGGGACTAAAGCTGTAAGCCACACTGTGCCGTGCGCCTCATACTTTTTATTTCTTAAGAAATGGCAAGAG